ATATTGAGAGACGCTTTATTCAAGTGCTCAATAATCTCACGCTCCACAGTAGCCCAAGATCTCTTATCAGTAGCACCCTTGTACGGACCACTACGCAGTTTCTTCACCTGTGATACCAATTTCGCAGAAGCTTGGTCAACACGGTCTTTAACGAAGTCAAGTTGGCCCAGAGTTAGTTCTTCGTCAGTACCACTCACTGGTAGATCAGAAGGTCTCTCACGTTGCCATGACGGTGGTAGTGACCAAAAGGAAGCCAGATATCCTCTCTTGGGCATACGATAACCCAAATTATGCCTAGCTTGAGCTTTCACCGGATTCTCAGTAGCAATATTCATAAACCTTGAACCCAGCGAAACCACAGTAGGCACTCTCTTCGAATCAGTAGTCATAGGTGGTTGCCCAAATCTAGGACCCTCATCCATAGGGGACTTAGTATATGGACTACCTTGTAACCTCGGGTCTGCCTTATATACAGACGCAGGCTTTCTTGCAGAACTCAATCTAGGAACCTGCCAGTGTTCATCAGAAACATTGGCATCAACGTTGTCAATCCCAGGATATCTTTGAGAAGGTCCACTATATTTGGCCTTACTGACTTCTGGAGCCTTGACACGCTGAGTAACAAACTTATCAGTAGGCATACCTCCCGCAAAGGATACAGTATCATTAGCAGATTCTTTACGAGGAGTACCCACAGAAGGAGTGTACGCTGGTAGCCTTGATTCCATTATAGACCCACCAGTAACACCTTTTATACTGTTACCGATATTGTCAATTCCAGATGACAGAGAGTCTAACCGAGAAAAGATAACAGCATTAATCTCTTCTTGCGATGACTTCTGACTCTGTAGTTGTACCGATAACCTACTTTCCATACCAGATAACCGAGTTATCAACTGAGTAATAGACTCAGTGTCTCTATCTTCAATAGAGGGATCTTTCTTCAAAGTTGAAGAACTCGAACCAGAAGGTATATTACCCACAGATGAACTCACTGATTGAGAATTGTGTTCGGTGGCAGCTATTCGCTGCAACCGTATACCTTCAACTTTCTCAGAGGTATCATCTTGGGGAATACCTTCTTTATCCTCCGATTCCTTGCTAGGAACTCGCTCTACCAGAGTGGTTTCAGCAGGAGTAGAATCATTGGACACAGTACCAGAAACAGGTGGTTCAGGAGAAACCACATCTCGCTGACCGAGGGGAGAAGTCGGATCCATAGGAGGCTCCCTACCATACAATCTTCTGTAAGCTTGTTGATAAAGGGTAGACTCAGTCTCACTATGAATACCGATACCTTGCTCACTACTCATGAGAAGAGTATAAACTTCATCACGAGTTAGAGGTATAGGCACATTCCGTAAATAACATAGACTCTCCCACTGTTCACGACGAAGCTGACCCAAAAGAGGAGGGGTCCAACAAGGAGCTGCTACCAATTGTTGGGAGCCGAGACGATCTCCTGAACCGGGATGCCTGGCTGGGGGAGTACCATTCACTGTCGACTCAGCCGTTTGTCCAGAACCATTTACCATACTTAGTTACACAAGAAGATACTTGTCCAATGTTTATATCCAATCAATAGAGTATAGTGTAAACCCAGCAACTTAAAGGAATACACAGAAGTCTACCGACCCACGGAGAATAACCAAATACTTATAGATAAGCCTTGCTTCTACAGTAGAAGTCTCAAGTCCTACTCAGTCTTATACAGACTAACTCAGTGCTAGGCTACGCAGCTACCACACAGAGACAATATCAACGCATGATACGTCTATACACAAAGTTGTCCCAACAGTCGTCTTGCGTATATCAGGAAAGATTCTTAAATCATCAGCAACCAAGTTCTCTTTCCTTTCCTTGGATATCAAATATCCATAATTCCGGGTTCCAAATATCAATAATCGCTCTCAAATGAGTCGTTGATTGTGTTACGTAAACAACCATTCCCCTTAGATTCCAAGTTTCATCCAGCCTGCTTACAATTCCCATGCTCATAAGCGTTCACACTTTTAGCTGGTCACTTACCGATCCAGCAGTAATTTGCAAGTTCACTATAGCTCTAACCGATTCACCCGAGATTATTGGAGCTTCCTTAGCGCTAACGACCGCTGATTCTCTGACTTTTCGTGGCCAACGCCCTCTTCACCAGAAGTTCATCCTGACTATCTGAATGAGGGTATCACTCAATTGCCGATAATGTCTTGAAACTAGTCACATACTGAGAGATAGTGTTGCTATTCGGCTTTGCCTTCAGTGAAAGCAACGTCCTTATATATAGCTGGACTTTGTCTGCGTTGATAGGATATGAGCTTACCTCTAAAAACGGCTTCTATGCTGTCTTGTATCGT